CATATATGTATATAAGTATATACACTCAAACGTAATCTAGATTTTATGCATATATCTCAATAATATATATTGAGATATATGCATACATTTGCACAGATATTTAAAAAAATAATGGTAATCAATAAGGGAACAAATTTACCAGCTCATAGACAATACCTTCCTTTTCTAGTTAAAATACTTCAGCAAGACAACATCTCCTCCCACACAATTAAACAAATGCAAAGAATTGCAGCTACTTTGGTGGTTTTGGCTTGGACTCCCTGCCATTTCTGCTGCTATAGTGAGATAACTTCCAGCTTTGCATAATGCTTGGTCATGCCTTTGCTTTCACTGGCCTTTTTGCTGGTGGCTGCATCTGCAAATGACTACAGTTGAAGTCTCTGAGTTGGTCTCAGCATCTGTCTCAAGTGTGTCTTCCCTAAACTGCCTGCCCTCTCCAGCATAGCTGATGGGGACACTTGCAGCTGCTTCAGGGACACAGCCAGATGCAGCTTAGGGTGTGATGCCACATCCTTTGCTTCTGTTTCTAAAAGTCTAGAGACAGGTGCTCAAATATCTGTTGGGAAGGCTCAGCATCTTCTGTAGTCATCTTGCCTCTGCTCTGTTGCTTGTTGCAGAGTAACATAAAATATTGGAGTTTTCCAAGGCAAGGCATTTTGGAAGGATGTATCTGACACAATTCTTGCTTAAAACTGGAATGAATCACACCGAGGATTGATGTGCCTTGGTGATTTGGTTTTCTGAATGATGCTTCAGAAAACATTCAGGAGATGTAGTTTGGTCCCTTACTTTATGATCTTTTGCTTTTAGGAGTCTACAGTCAAATCTGACACCCCAAAAATACCTGTAATGCTAACAGCAGTAGTAGGAGTTGAGGTTTTCCACCTCTTTTCCTCTGTAGGACTTCTGTGTGAATGATGCTGTCTTGGGAATGGAAGCAGCAAAACCAGCCTTTGGAAAGGGCTCCCAAAGGGGTTTGTTACCCATGTATTGATCAACTGGTTGGCATCATCACTACATGCTTGTTTGGGGACCATGATTGGACTAAAAATACAGGCTGAAAACCATTCTACATTGTCAAATATACCAGCACCAGGGCAAGCTCTTTGTTCTGCAGACTTGTAGCAGTGATTATACAGCTGTATGAGGGATATTTCTCCTCAGCATTCTTTTGGTCTTCAACAAATGTCACATTGTCCATGGGACATGACTTTGCTGTGAGAGAAGGGTACTGATGGCAGTAGACATTTCCATGTGTTTCAAAATGGATATAAGCATGTGTGGGATAATGTTGAATGAGGATTTCAGCTCACTTGATCTTCAAGGAGATGTCTGGGGACTTTGTTGGGCATGCAGCAAGATTAGGCTTAGGTTTACTTCTTTCTTTAGTAGAAAACTCCTTGTTCTGCTTAATCAGCTTTAGTTTTATGCTCTTCTGCAAATTGGAGAAGAAAATTCTCAGGAGCAGCAATGCCTTGAAGTAGGTAAGGGGTGGCTTTTCAGAAGCTGAAACAACTTGTAATTGTTGAGGAGGTGATAGTATTGCTTATGTAAAATGGTGCCCTGTCAGCTTATTTTTACACATGGTGTTTTATGTTTAGCTGGACAGATGTTTATTATGGTTTACTTCTTGCTGTCAACCACATGGCAGATTGCTTATTTTCTTATGGGTTTGAGGAATGGGGAAGGAAATCTATCAACCTGATATAATAGGTATGTTAACTGTTAGATAAAAGGAGGAAGAATATCTTATTTTATTTGAAAATACAATAGAGTCAAGACACAAAAAGTTGGACAGGGAACAAAAGTAATAAACATAAAATGCACTGTAAATAAAACACCAGTAGCAGTTGGACTATTGAAGTTGGTGGGAGCTTTGCCTTTGACTTTGGTGTGACAGGATTCACCCAAGGATGTGGCCCCTGGCCTGGGGTCCACCCTGCTAGGCTACCTGGGTGTGTCCTTGCTTCCCACCAGTCCCAAAGACCTCGGCTCCAGCCAGAACATGGAGATACCCAAAGTCTTGGGGTGAAACCATGTCCTACCCAGGGTCTGAGTGGCTGGGACTTCCAGCTCAGTGTTTCTCATCAGAGAAAGCAGAGCTAAGCATGTGCAGAACAAAACTCATCTATATTCATTCAGATTTAAGTTTCCTCAGCTTGAAGGTGGTTTGGTACCATCTGAAAACATTTCTGGAATAATTTATATTGTTTTATGTTATTAGGACTGCACTATGCCACGGGAATACTGACTATGCATTCAAAAAAAGGCTCATCTTTTCAAGTGAGGCTGGGAGTGGAACCAGCCCAGAACAAAGGGTCACTTCAAAGTCAAGGATGACTGTTTCAGAAGGCGAAATCACAGCTGGATCCAACTTCTAAGGAGGGGAAAAATCACAATCTCTGCCAAAATCACCCTTTGATACACTTGCAAAGATAACAAATGATACACAGAAGGTTTTGGGCAGAGGTGTAATGACTCTGTACTGCATCCTGCTAAACCAAAAGATTGTTCGCCTGAAAAAAATTCCACCCGTCTTCACTGAAGGTCTCTTTGTTAAGTGACAGTGAATATCATTGAAAGTAAAAGGTTGATTTGGTACCTGCTGTTTCAAAAGCAAAGAAAACATGTAACAGATGCTTGGGTGGTGATCAGTGGTGCCTGTGAGATGAATGACAGTTCTGTGTGTGAGGGCCACAGAAGATGGCTGCATTGCAGACTCCCTGTTTGTTACCTAAAGGCTATAGGAAGTATTCTATTCACAGCAGAGATGCTCAGACTTTGACATGTTTTTTGTGAACGAGGCAGTTGATATCTTAATCTGGAATTCACCTGGAAGAGCACTGTCTGCTGGCATCAAGCCAGCTGCAGGATGTTGGTCTTAATTTCCAGGTCTGTCATAATTAAATAGCCCCTCTTCTAAGCAAATTACTCATAAAAAGCAGTTCTGCTTTATTCTCGATGGCCACAGTACAGTGTGCACACCTGTAGATAGGCCCAAGGGAGCTTCCAAATGAAATTGCTTTGAGATATATTTCTTCTGGGACACTCTCCAGTGATATATAAGCTTGAAATAATTCACTAGGTTATTTTTTTAGTGAATACATTGTATGTCCCCCTGCACCCTAGGACCTTGCCAAGTTCTCACCCTGGTCCTCCGTCTCTGCACTAAGGGTCTGTTCCTCTCCTGGGGATGTTTTCCCTCCCCAGCCCTGTTTTTTGTCAAGGAAGTGATTTCTCATGATGTTTGTGTCTGTGACAATGCAGAGAATTGGGGACCAGTTTACCCCTTCATTTTCAGTGGAGAATTAAAACCACTAAGTTATGTTTGTTTTGCAGGATACCAGATTTTGTTAAGGTAGATGGCTGTGTAGGAAGTGAAAGGTCTACCATTTTGTTAGGTAGCATCCTAGAAAGCAGCAGAGTTCATAGGAGACACTGCAGTACCACAATCTTCTTGTCTGTTTAACCCAGTTCAAAGTTTGTGACTGCTCTGTCCCAACTTTAGGGAGGTGGGCAGTTGTCCAGCCAAAAGCAATCCTGGCTGATATAGATTTGGGTAAGGCTCAGGTGAAAAGGAGATTGAGTGAACAATCTGACATGAATGCATTTAGGTAAAGACTTAGGTGTGTCTTCCTGCTGAAGGGAGAAGGTATTTTTCCCTCTCTGTATGTGTTGGGAACTCCCATGGTTAATGAAACAAGATTTTTGTAAGATTGGCCTAAAACCTGCTTTTCTTTATTTGTCCAAATCCATGTCTGTTGGGAGCATGTTTGAGAGCTGTTGGTGGGGTACAATTCCTGACACAGTGGGCCTTATAAATCCCCAGCCCTCTTCCTGCAGTTGTAATTACTTTCTCATAGTAGGGGAGTTAGTGTATAGCCAAGAGAAAGGGATTTAAGCCAGGATTTATGACGGGTGTCTTGGAAAAGTGAAGAGGATTTTTGGTTTTGTAGTTGATGCTGTGGTAACAAAATTGAAGCATGGATTTAATAGTTGCCTCAGTTAATTAAGTTTCTTAGCATGTATTTTGCCACCTATTACTCTAGGTTTAAGCTGGAGCTGATGAAGTACCAATCTCACTGAACTGTACTGTAAATTGCATTTAGGAGTATTTTTTCCTGCACGTTATTCTCAGCATAGTATTGGTGTCTGTGTGCAGTGTGTACTGCTGGAAAATGTATGTTTCAGTCCAGTATTGCATTGGAATAAAAGAACCTTTTTCCTTTTCCATAATTAATGAAGAAGCATTTTTAAAGCCCTGTTGTTGAAGCCAGCTAAATGGTGCAGTGTGGGTATCAGGATGGGGCTGTTGGAGCTAGAGGATGCAGTCTGAGATGGAAAATGAGGTTCATCCTTGTAGGCTGTGGGCACACAGCCTGGAGATTTGTAGAGCAAAGCAGAGAAAATCTGATGTCTGCACAACACATCTTACAGAGGAGGTTGTCCTGGAGTAGCTGTTCCCTCAGGCTATCAGGTTGAGAAGTGTTACGTACATCCCTGCCATGTCCTCAGGTTTAGATTCATCCCAGTAGTATAGGGTTTGTGCACTCCACAAGCTCTCTGCAATGTGAACCAGAGTGTGGTAGATGGGGAAAGAAGGACATTTACTTTTAAAGTACTCTCCTGTCCAGAACAGTAGAACCCCTCTGAAATCTGAAAGACAAAATTTGCATTTTTAGTTTGCCCACTTGTGTATGAACAAAGTGACTGTGGAGCAGGGTGGGAGCTGGACTGGAATATCGCCTCTCTCCCGGGATTGCACTGGGTTTGCAGCGTGACTGAGAGTTGGAAGCAGAACTTTGGGGTTGTTTATTTTAATTCCCCATGGTAGGTCTTGATAAAATGCCAAAGGAGACGTTTCACCCTAAAAAGGGGAAAAAGGTGGAAAGTGGGAAGTTTCATTTGCTGAAATGTTCCAGGGCTCTAGTATTGTACCTGTGATGCTGATGTAGGAGGGTATTCTGGTCTGGATAATGATGGCAGCATCTTTCTTGCAGGCCCAAACAGGAAGATGGAGTGTCAAAAAATTACCAATTTTGGAAACCAGCTTCTTCGCCGGAAAAATGTGGACTGCTCTCGAGAAGACAGTCGCCTCTCGCGATGCCTTAACACGTTTGACTTGGTGGCTCTGGGTGTAGGCAGCACTTTGGGTGCAGGTGTCTATGTACTGGCTGGGGCTGTGGCACGGGAAAATGCAGGACCTGCCATTGTTATCTCCTTCTTGATTGCTGCCCTGGCTTCCGTGCTGGCCGGACTCTGCTACGGAGAATTCGGTGCTCGAGTTCCTAAGACGGGATCAGCTTATCTCTACAGCTACGTGACTGTGGGTGAGCTGTGGGCCTTCATCACAGGCTGGAATCTCATCCTCTCCTATGTTATTGGTAAGTGTGGTGGGTGTGCTGCAAGATCCTAGCTTCAGTTCAAGGTGGCAGCCTGATGTTTAGGGTCACCCTTGTTTCTGGTCACGCCTGTGTTACTGTTACAAAATAGATGCTTCACTCTTGCGCTCACCAGGATTTCAGGACTCATCAGTGGGATGCGTTTTTGATGGCTCCTGTGCTGCTGGCTGAGGGCTTATTGCTGCTGGGAATTCCTCTGAATCTCCACCTCATCCCTCTGGCATCCCCTGTCTTCTGCACACTTGCTAGGGTGCTAAAGAGTGTCCTCTCTGCTGAGAAAGGAGCTGCTCACGGAAAGATGGTTTTATACAGAGTGCCTGTACTCACAGTTGATCAAGGATTAATTCTGGTCCCTTTGGGATCTATTTAAAGTATCTGGAGATAAGAGTTATGTCTTGTGAAGTGCTGCAGAATTAATCTTGAGATGATCTGAAGGTTCAGAGTCTCTGGAAAATACAAACCAAATCCCTCCTAAGCCCTTGACTCCCACTAGGAGAGGCCCTGGCTCAAGCTCAGAGCATGCGCTGTGCAACTCAGCTGATGCATTAAAACTAAGCCACACTTTGCTAATTAAGGATTTGTGTCTTTTCAAGCACATTCTGGGCAGGCTGCTTGTTATCACGCCTCTAAGGCTGCAACAGACCCACCAGCTGAGACTGAAAGCTTGCTAGTTAAACTGAAAACCAACTGTTTGCTAAATTACTAAAAGGAGTTGGTTTTTTTAAATGCATTTTATGAGATTTGTAAGCATTACCTCGGAATTTAGTTTCCATGGTGCTTGGAGGGTAAGATCATATCAAGAACAACATAGTGGCATAGCAGCTGCCTGTCTGAGATCATGCTGGCTTTCCTGTGTGTTACCTGAAATATTTTTCTCCTCTTCTCCTCCTTCTTAAAAAAAAAAAAAAAAAAAAAGAGAAGATGAAAAGCCAGAGTCAATTAAACTCCTCTCCTTAAGAAATCTGAGTCCTGTAGCTATTTTGTGAATTACATTCACTGCAAGGAGTAGATAAAAAATAATTTTTAAAAAAGTAAGTGTTTAATTTCTTCCACACTTCTACGATGGACTCTGCTTAGGCTACACATAGAAAAATTGAACAGACTTCTTGGTAACTTTTCTTCTGTTCCAGAAAGGTAATGATAAATCGTCTCCTTCATGCCCTTCATCTAGTTGGTTTTGGGGCCATTCCTACCATGATACTGGACGACCAAAATGAATGACATAGCCGTGGTTGCTGTCCCAAAACCTGATTCTGCAAATGCACAATGAAAAGTTTTGCCTACTGAATGTTCTACTCCGAGGATCTGGGCTCAGAGTGGTATTTCCGAGATTTTTTTTTTTCCCCTCTCATAATGGATTTTGAACAACTGTCTCAGTTCTTGTTTCAGAGTTGACTGCTCAGTGTATTGTCACAAGGCAGGAAATTAAGTTAAAAATAAGTAGATACAATCCATGAATGTGTTCAAATACAACAACTTCCTTACTTTTATTTCAGTCCTGTGTCAAGAATGTGTATTTGCAAACTGTCTTTCTCATAATTTGTGAGAAAGGGTGGCTAAGGTGGAAAAACACTGGGGGAGGATATGAGGTGTAGGAGGTCTCTTTATCTTGCCCAGCTTTTTTCCCAGAACTAATTGCCCCTCTTGAGGGCAAGGTCAACTCCCAGCAGCTTCTGGGGCGTGGAGGAGAAAGATATGTTGGGCTGCCACTGTAAGGCCCCAATCACTCGCTCAATGAGACTTTTGAAAGTGTTTATAATGGTTCCTGTACTCTGAGTTAGACACACGGGAGAAATATCAACCAGATAGTCTCAAGAGATCAAAACAACACGAAGGTTTACTGGCAAACTTCTGAAAAAATTAGGAGACTTTGGCTAAAGACTTACTACAACATCTGATCAACATAAGAACACTTCTCACAGCATTAATTTAGGCCATCCAACTTGACAAACTTTACACCTGTTAGTTACTTAAAATCTTCCAAGAAGAGGGAATTAGAAGAAGGAGTGAAAGACAGAGAAGATATAGAAAAGCACACAGAGCTACCAATGCCTGGGTTCCAGCAGTGTTCAGATACAAGCTCCAGGAGGAAGGTAGGGTCAAGATGTGCTGCACTCATGCTCAGCCATAAAAACCCCTGGGCCTTTGTTGGCTCTCCCTCCAGGTGGGACTTCTGGCCATTTGGCCTCTCAGGAGCTGGTTTAGGCAGAGTGGAGCCCTGCCCCTGCTGTGCTAATGCAGTGCTGGAACAGAGGCTGGGAGGTGTGGGGACAGGGCACTGCCTCACCAGGGCAAAGCTTGACACACAGGCATCCCTAAATGTCTCAGGACATCAGTCATTCCTCCCAGTCTCTGAGAAGCACATGCTGCACTTCAGAGCCAGGGCTTGAAAGGGGTAGAAAGCTGTTTTTTTTTTCTTAATCTTGCTGAGAAAATGCCAAGCAGTGCATCAAAAATATGCATCTCTAAAGAGCTCGGCCAGCTTGGTGTTTTCATGCTGAGGTTCTCAGACATCGGCTCAGGAAGTATTGTGAGGGTGGTAAAAGAAAACCTGGAGTCCCAAGGATGAGTGGCCAGTAACTTTTAATTAATTGAAGTGACTTGACTTGGGGGAAGGCTTGTGTGGAGTCTTGGAGGTGGGCGATGAGAAATAAATGGGCATGCAACTTATCCGTTATGGTCTAGAGAGAAGGAGAAAGGTGTCCAGGACCAGGATCTGATGTGAACTTTCTTCTGGGATGATGTGGGTTTGGGGAACTGTGCCAGATTGTGGGATGCATTTCAGGAATTAGAAACTGGTGGGAACTGGTAGTATGATGAGTAACAGCATCTCTGTTCAGTAGGTGCTGCTGGGGTTTCCTGGCACTTGGTGACCTCCTTGCCCGTGCCTGTTCCTGCAGCGAGCCCAGCACCTGAGCTCTGCAGTTCTCCTGGGAGCTGTATGCTGTAGGCAGGAGCCAAATCTGCTCTGGTGAGGCTATGCTGACCCAGAACTGGGTAAATCCTCCTAGGTACAAGATGAATGTCTTTGCACTGTGCTCTCTAATAACAGCAAGATATTATCCAGGTGTCTGTGTTGTTGAAAGAATGTCAGATTCCCCCTGCTCCCTCAAGCCTGTTGGTTACAGAGAGTTCTGGATAAATGGGTGATAGTTATGTGGAACTGGCATTGAAGCAGCTGGCATCTAATATAACACATGCAGGAGCTGGGTGTTCCTGTCCTAGAATGTAAAATATTAGAGCTAGGACAAAAAATAGCACTAAAATAGTCTTTTTCCTCAAATCGTGCCAAAGCTAACTTGAAAAATTGTAATGTGGTGTATGATAACTTTTGCAATTTCTCAAGATTAAATTGATGGCAGTGATGTCCAAACTCTTTAAAGGTGTGTTCACACTGTGCACTTTTCTGTCTTGGTGAACAGAAGAGTCTCCCAACAGGTCTGTTCTGCAGCTTAATTTTTATGCTGTTGCAAAGCTGAATTGGGCAGGTGAGTGTTCCCAGCTGTGCTGCAGGTGCTGCCCACCACTGCTGCAGAGGATTTGGCTGTGGGTGAGCACAGACATTGTTTGACAGGATTGCAGGTGCCGGAGTTGGGACCTGAACACCCACTCACAGGTGAGTGTGGTAGGACAGACTGTTCTGGGTGGAAAGGGGCCCCTGATGGCATCCTCTGAGGAGCTGCTCTGCAGGCCAAAACCAAGCCAAGGTCTTTCTTTAACTAGGTAATTATATACAGCAATAATTATGATATGCAATTAGATGCTGTTATATACAGTCTAGGTACTGTATGAGACATTGGGAGTGTAACAGTAGCCACGTTAACACAGGAGAGGGAGAAGTTGGCTTTTATCCAAGCCTAATTATTTCACAGAATGCTGCCCCTGTCTGGTGGTAGCTCTTTGTTGTTACTATTTCAGTTCTCTAAAATTACTTTTATGGCACAGACACTGTCCCTAGCTTGCTTGTCCTGAGACCCCAGGTTCAGTTCTCACCCCAGCAAGCTGCACGTAGTTGGATGCACTCAAACAGAAACAAAAAGCGGCCCCAGAGGGCAAAGCCTGAGCACTTGCTGCAGGCAGGAGCTGTTCCACTTGCTGTGGTCATCCCCAGCACTCTGCAATATGCTGACTTATGCTCAGATAACATGCAAATTGTATCTGAGTCTTTTTCGTGCTTGGATGCTCTAGCACTGGAGGTCAGAGTAGACCTGGGTGTTGCCAGAGTGCAGAGCTGGCCACTGGTGTGGTCTGGGCTCTGGTGCTCCAGCATTGCAGTGCTGGAGGGCAGCTGGATTCTCTAAGGGCTCTCTGCCTGGGCTGCAGCCAACTAACTGGGGCTGCCACAGACTTCTGCCAGCATTACCTTTGGACCTCTCTGGTAACGGAAATTACCAGGTTTGGGGGAAGGGCTCTTGGGGGTATGAGGAAGAGATCAATCAGGGCAGTATCAAAGGCAAAGTTGAGGTTTGCAAAGAAGTCAGACTAAAAAGATTTTTCTCATCTTGTCAGCTCAGGGTGAGTCTGAGGTCCACCACCTGTGTGTGTTACTATCAGAGCAGATGCCAAACATGAACACAGGCTGCGGGCTTGGTATGGATATGAAAGGCTGCCCCCAGCACCTGGGAGCACATGCAAGGTTGCTTTGAGGCCCTCTGTATTGAAAAACCTTACAAGGCTCTCCCTGGTTTGGAGCATGTGCTAGCCCCAAAGGTGATCTTTGTCCTTTCTATCCTCTGGCAGGAACCTCAAGTGTGGCCAGAGCCTGGAGTGCGACATTTGATGAAATCATAGGGCAGCACATTGAAAAATTTTGTAAAAAATACATGACGATGGATGCTCCCGGAGTGCTAGCAAAATATCCAGACATCTTTGCTGTGGTGATAATCATCATCCTAACAGGTGAGGCACTGGAGGGGTTTGTGGGTCTTGCACCTCCTTGTTCTGTAATCTCATTGTTTGCTTTTGGAATGAGCATGAAGTCCTGATTTATTTTGAACAACATATTAAAGACTTTCTTTGCTACAAGTGTTGGATTGACCTATATAGCTGCTGAGGAGTTAGCACAGGGCATAGCCTGCTTACAAGGTTTTGAATTAGAGGGGAGCATTCTTGATATTTTTGAGCCACTTTTAAGGCCTTCAATCAAATTTTTTATAAGGAGGAAAAGAAAAGATGACTTGTTATCCTCAATCAGGTATAGGAGTTTAATCCTTCCCTCCACAAATCCTATTACACAAGAATTTCATGCAGTTAGTCTATCAGCCTTATTCCCCCTTTGATAATCTGCCAATTTTTTATGCCTTGAGCCAGAAAAGTGAGGGAAAAAAAGAAAGAGGACTCGGTTACAGTTTCATGTACTACTGTTTTAGTTTTGGGTGTTTTTAAATGTGTACAGGCTTCAGTTTACAGAAGTGAATACAAGACTCCAGAGAAATAAATGTGTCACACACAGTCTGCATTTCTTTTTTTTTTCTAAAAATGTGCCAAGTCTTTGTTCATAAATTGGAAAAGTTTTGACAACTTGCAAGATCAAAATTCTTCTGAATGTTTACTTCTACTCCAGCTGGGTCTTGCAAAGCATTACCAAGTTTAGGCAAATTTAAGAAATTACACTTCTATATTCCTCTGCAGTTTCCAGCAGGCAGAAGCTTCAGTGTCCCACTAGCAAGGTTATCCTGACATTTCCCACTCTGATTGGAATGGCCTTCTCAGTGTGAGCTGTGCTCATAGGGACAGGTCTCATAAGCAAGGGATGCTTTGGCATTTGGATTTGCATTTGGATCTAGGACTGCATGGATGGCTGCTGAAGCCAATAGTAGCCCTCTGTTTTCAGGATTACATCTGAATGGGGGAGATTTTCCCCTTTGTTCATTTGTATGTAATGTGAATTGCTCTCATTTCAAATCCGAATCCAAACTTTCACTTCAGATACAATTTACAAAATTTAGAACTCCTTACTTTAGCAGTGCTGAGGTGTAAAATTACAAAGGTTACTTTGTAATAAGGTGGCTTTATGCTCCTGCATGAAGCAAATTCCATGGATTTTAATAAAAAAGGCAAAGCATTCTTTTCTAAAAAAAAGCTGCTGGAAGAGCAGCTTTAGTCTCAAATACCATCATCACAAGTTTATTTCTGCTTGCACTGTCCTGAGCTTCAGATTTCTAAAAAGTACCTTGCAAGTTTTTGTGGGCTGGTATGCAGTTATATCAAACATTCTTCTGATATGGCTGTCTCAGCTTATTTCTTACTTTAAAAGAAGGAAAGGTGAGTACACAGGATGCTCTTCTCTCATTGAAGTCCCTTGGAGTTGCAGTAAAAGAACACTGTGTTGTGCTTCTCTTCTCACTTGGGCCCGTGTGAAGATTTTTTACTTCTCCTTCAGCCTTAGATTTGAGTTAAAAGTTTCAGTTCTTAAAAATCAGACACCTGAAGAGGAAGTTAAGAGAGCTTGTCGACCTGAGAAGCCAAGCTATGCCTCAGTGAGATCTTGCTTCCCAAGGCGTGTAGCCATGCTCTTCTTCAGACAGATGATCTTAAGACCAAGCTGAAATCCTCCTCTCACTGAACTTGCTGGCAAAGCTCTTCCTGATTAAGTAGGAGCAGGATTCCTAAGATGCCACCTTCTTCTTTGTCTTCGGCTCTAGAAGTAGCTATTGGAAGTAGAATTGTCCTGGGTTTGGTCCCTGCTCATATTTCCCCCAGTTTCTGAGGAAAGTTGAGTGTTGTCCATAATTTCTGCATTTGGCCAAGACCTCTAAGACAGTGTTCCTTCATTGAAAATCACCTGTTGTGCTTTCTCTGGGTCTCTGTGTGGAGTTTGAGGCTGTGGGAGTAGTTTAAGTGTATTAGCAAAGCACTTTACCAGGGACATGGTCCACATGGGCATGCTGGATGGGAGGGTGTGTCACATTCTGCAGAAATAATGTCTGAGCTGAAGTCCCGTCCTACTTCTGACTGAGTGAATCCTGAGCTGCTTGGCTTTGTGAAGAAACAAGATGGGATAATTTGGGCAGAGCACAGCATGAGCACAGTTGAGCTATGTCTGTGAGTCCCCAGCACCTGCTGCTGTTGGTGAAATACCTGACCTATGCCATTTTTTTCCCAGGGCTTTTAGCTTTTGGTGTGAAAGAATCTGCCCTGGTGAACAAAGTGTTCACCTGCATCAACGTCCTTGTCCTTGGATTTGTCGTGATCTCCGGCTTTGTGAAAGGATCTGTTAAAAACTGGAACCTGACTGAACAGGACATTTACAATACAAGCCATAGCCTTTTCAAAGACAAGTAGGTTGGATATTTTCTTCTCATCTCAGAAGCTGGTGCATTTTCAAGAGCAAGTTTAAATGGGGGGTTATGGACTGAGTTAGAAAACCAGTGAATGGGATGGCTGCCTTCTTTGCCACAGACCTTGGAGGCAAAGCTGTCTTTGGTGTGTGTTTGCTGAAAGCAAGCTGTGCTGATGGGCTGAAAGTGCTTGGAGTAGGCTGTGTCATCGTGGGCCCTGCTGAAGGACTGACCATTTCTTGCCTTATAACCAATATAGCACCCCAAGTTGAGAGAAAAAGGCTCTTTAGATAGTGTTCTACTCAAGTCTACACCAGGCTGGCTCTGGTGCCTGTATGAAGCCATGTCCAAGTATAGCCATGTACTTTGTTTGAATATTTGGGCAACATCCTTTGGCATTGTTATACCTTATAGAGACCTTGTTGCAAATGCCTCAATAAAATGAAGGCAAGTTGCAGATTATTATAATGCATTGCTGCAAGCATATCATAAATCTGTTTTTAATGACATTTTGCTTGGCCAAAATTCTGTCATCCTACACAAGATCAAAATTAAGGAGCTTACAAGGCCTACCAGTAGGACAAAGCTATTAATTTTTGTTTGAGACTGTAGCACACAGGATAAGGGCCTCAAATATCTCCACATATATCAGGACTTTTATCATGGCCTGTAAGGAAGCACAGTTGGGCAAAATTTGGTGAGATTCATAAGTGTTGTGTGGGTCAAATTTATCTTGTGTAAAAGCCACTTCCTGAGCCTCTTTTCAAAATTCAACCTGCTGCAAACAAATTGCTTCTATAGGACTGGTCCCTTCTCCTTCCCTCCTGCTATTCCCATGCAAGGAGCAATTACTGCAACAGTTTCAAAGTGTGAGTGCAGCTCTTTGACCTGTATGACTTACTATTTTTGTAAAATCTGTCTGGGGTTTATTTTATCATTATTTCCAGAGTGATCCACATTTGGGTTGTACTATTTCTGTTGGCCAGCTTTCATTTAAGTCTCAGCAGAGCTTCTATGAGAGAGTTCAGATATGTGAGGAGACTTGCAGATTTGGGATTTAGTTTAGTTTAACTGCCTTAATTCATCTTTACAAAGACTTTTCACTGAAAAAGTTGCCTAAGTCACTTGAACTGAAGGGTGTGCTTGTTATATCACTCAACACAAGGCACATGGATATGGGGTTGCAATCCAGAGTGCACTGGGATCAGCTTGTGTTTGTCTGTTGACTTGAATGAACTTTGGTTAAGGCTCAGCAAAGCAGCTGGTGTGTCAGGGATCCAGGCTCCACTTCTCTCTCACAGTTACAGGAATGGTTTGGGTATGAGCTTGGCACATGGAATTTGAGAAGATGGGGTGGATTTTAAACAATCACAGCACCCTGCATTCCTTTCTTATGTCTACTCACCTACCTTTTATCTGAGTCCATCTAAAGTAAAAAGTGGATGGCTCACATGTTTCTCAGTTTCCAGCTTTTCCAAAAGCTTCTGTTCAAATGAATATATGTATCTGCACACATGCAGTAATGTCAGGAAATTATTTTTAATGTTCATGCTATTTTCTCCTTGTCTTAGCCAAGACATTTTTATCCACCCCACAGAAAAGGTGGTGGGAGCAAATCATGAACCATTTTTATTCCATGCCTTCCCCAGGCTGTTGCAGGCCAGTCAAAGCTCAGCAGTGGGTAGGGCTTAGCATTTTGCCTGGTATGCTAGCATATGAAAGGGAGAGCCTGCTTCTTCAAACTTTGGCTTTGGATTTTGTTATGAGCTGTGTGAATAGCTTTGTGACTCCCAGCTAGGCAGGATCACTTCTAACCCAGTGCCATGCCTTTCAGTCAAACACAGGAAGAAAAGCTCTACGGTGTTGGAGGGTTTATGCCCTATGGATGGAAAGGAGTCCTCTCAGGGGCAGCCACGTGTTTTTATGCTTTTGTGGGATTTGACTGTATTGCTACTACAGGTAAGAGGGAAGATGTCTTCATTGTGGTTATGAACCTGGCTGCCGGTAGATCGACTTTCAGTAACATTGGAGAGCACAGATAATAGGGAATTCAGGACACCACATTTGTTGTCCCTCTAAACCTCAGCTCAAAATAGGCTTTTGGCTCAGCTGCTCCTAATAGTGAAAGTGCTAAATTTGTTCGAGTTCCTGAGTGCCTTAGTGCTAACTTCTAGCTGCTGTAGCACACAGATAAACTGTATAACCATGAGCTTCCTCCCTTCTTTGCCTGCAGGGCCCAAGCTAGTGGATGGTCAGTGATGACACAACCAGGTCAGATGTTCAGGTTTTCCAGCTAGGCAAACAGGGAAGGCCCAGGTTCACATGTCTGGTATGAGTTAGAGCCTCTAATTGTAGATGATACTTTAATCAACAGATTATTCTGGAACAGTGTTCTTCGGTGCCTTCAGCTGCAGAAGCTCTGATGGCTTGGAGTATTTTAAAGATCCAGGGAAAGAGGAAGCCTCTGGGGAGTAAACTGTACCCTAGAGCTGTGCTTTAGAATCAGGAGATTTTACATGTAAAGGTTAAGAGGTCTCATTTTGAGAGAGAAGCCATCAGCATGGTCATAATTCTTGGAGCTAAGATGAATCTTAATTTCCTGAAGAAAGGATTATCCTTAATTTCACATTTGGCAAGAACGGTTGGAGCAGAGGGAGAATGGAATCATCACAGACAGATAAAGATTTACCGTGTCTTCCAAGCAAGGAGCTGGAGAAGTGTTGGCTCCATTACTCCAGCCAGCCCTGGAGCTTCTCCTTGTGGGAGAAACATTCATCTGCTTTTGACTTGTAGGTGTATGGATCTGTGTTTATCAGTTCATCCTGCTGAAATGCTGTACCTCAGGAGCTCTTGCTTTCAGAGCAGTTTTACAGGACTAGGAAAGTGCAAATCTGTTCTGTAATTGATCACTGCCTGAATTTTGAGGAATTTTGGTTTTTTGCACACATTTTTTCCTACTTGGTTGTTGAAAATTTTCCATAAAAACTAGAGGAGGTCCTTCTGTTATGAGGCGTGTTCAAAGAGCCATATGACTTTCAGGCACTCTGTCCTTCTCCAGAAATGGGCACCTATGATGCCATGGTCCTGGTGTATTAGTTCTGGTAGAGATGGTACTAAAATGGACATCCATGGATTTTCCCTACAACTGCACAATACTTTCTTGTTCCATCATCTGTGATCATTGAACTCTTCTTAGGTCTGCACCATCAGTAGGATAGAAGGAGTAGGATAGAAGGATGATCTGTTTTGGGCAAAGCACTATTTTAATTCAGATTGTTTCTGTGCCTGAGTTTACAAGGCTTCCATGAATGTGTGTCAGAAGTGTCAGGAGCAGCAGAAATGGGAGCAGACAGGCTGTGATAACCCAAGTGGATGGAGCAGGCCATCAACAGCATTATGGTCAAAGAGCACCTCTGTACCCATGAAACCTTTGAAAGCCCCAGGCAGCATGCCTGCCCTAGGTTGGGATAAAGGTCTTGCTTGTCATTTAGTTGATATTTAAATTTCTTTCTTCTAGGTGAGGAGGTAAAAAACCCTCAGAAGGCCATTCCTATTGGCATTGTGGCATCTCTTCTTATCTGCTTTGTGGCTTATTTTGGCGTGTCAGCTGCCCTGACGCTCATGATGCCTTACTACCGGCTGGATACCAATAGCCCTTTACCCAATGCCTTTAAATACGTGGGTTGGGATGGAGCCAATTATGCAGTGGCTGTTGGTTCCTTGTGTGCACTTTCCACGAGGTAAGACACTGCTCTTCATTTTTGCATCTCTCAAGGTACATGTCTCATGTACCTCCATCTCCTTTAAGAAATGGAGTGGAGACCAGGGATGAAATTCAGGCCTACTGACCTCAAAAGGACCAGGATTTCACCCTGTGGTAGGTACCAGAGAAGCAGGTAACCAGTATCACTTCAGAAAGTCCCATCTTAGCAGAAGAAACCAGCAGGTGCATCTCAGGAATATAAATCTGGATTGAATGACTAAATCGTGGAGGCAGCTATGCAATGCTGGCACGGTTTGGGTGCAAGACATCCTGGCCTGCTGGGTGGAGAGCAGACTTGTGTCAGGTGGTGCAGGGTGCATCTTCAGGAGCACATGGGGCTTACCATATCCAGGGCCATCTGTCTGCAGGTTACCTGCAGGACAGCCATCTGGATGGGAGGCAGGGCAGGCTGGAGGCAGAACTTTTCACCTCTTGAACTTGGAAGGCCTATTTCAGATCAACTTAGACATACTCAATTAGGTGAGCAACTCACAGAGGCTCGTAGAAGTTACAGTTCTTTTACTGCCTGAAAGTCAGGCTGGTTTTATGCCCCATGGCTAAGTTTAGCTATCCAAAATCATAGAGTTGCACCTCAGTTACCAGCTATGGGTATTCAGAGGGAGCCCTTGAAGGAGAAGCTGAAGTGAATGAAGGCCACCTGTTCTATAGTTACACTGCCATAAACTTGCTTTCACTTGTGTGCCTGTGCTCAGCAGGAGGTGACATAAGTAGATTATTTCTCCTTCCTATGTCCGTAGTCTGCTTGGCTCCATGTTTCCGATGCCTCGAATAATTTATGCTATGGCAGAAGATGGACTTCTCTTTAAATTTTTGGCTAAAGTCAACGAGAAGAGAAAAACTCCCTTAATTGCAACGGTGACCTCAGGTGCTACTGCAGGTAGGATCCAAAGACTTGCACAAATGTGTGGAAAGGAGACATAAGCTCATCTTCAGGGCAGATAAGTCCGCCTGACTCTAGCCCACTTACTAATTGGATATTGCAGAATACAGCATCCCAGAGGGTGTCCTGGATTTCCAGGGCATGCCCTGGGGAGTCTGGTGAGCATGAGAAGCTTGCTGTGTGCTTGTCCCTCTTTCTCAGAGCTCCTTGCTTACAGTCCTGTCTCCTGCCAGGAACTACCTTCTTCTGCTCAGCCAGCCTTGAAAGTAATTAACGCCCTGCAAGGTAGCAGCCAGTGGTGCCCCAGCATCCTTGTGGCTGTTGGCCTGGCTTGGCTGGAGACACTGCATTGCCTGTGGGTAGCAGCTCTGCAGAAGATGCCAGAGCAGCCGGAGACAAGCAGATGGCCCCTGTGGCACTGGCATTTGTTAATCAGTTAGTCACAGCTGGCAGCCATCCTGTTCTCCCCTTCCTTCTCCTGGCCTGCCAGAAATACGGGAATTAAACCTCTTAGACAGCAAGGATGAGCAGCTTACCCTGTTCTTGCAGCCACCCCCTTCCTCACGATGCCTGGCAAAGAGGAGAGCAGCCTTGCTGCTTCCTCTTTACCTTCTGCTGCAAGTATAGGTTGAGCTGTGGGTACAAGAATGTGCCACCTTTGGTGGGGAGTTGTCCCAGACTGCTTCCCTGGGCTCTGAGCTTCTGTGAAAGGGCTCAGCTCCTGCTGCTGGGACTCACAGAGCCTCCTCACAGCTTCCTTCTCCCACACCTTCCTCTTCAGGTGTGTTTGGGTCCAGACCATAGTGGGGTAGAAAAAAGAGCAATATAAAGTAAAAAACCAAACAACTTTGTGGTCTCATCCAAGTGGTCCATAGTGCCTGTGACCAAAACCCAGGTGCAGGGGCAGCATTTGCCAGCTGAGTTTAAAGGTTGGGCTGGCTGCTGGGCTCCAGGTTGTACATTAAGGCTGAGTGGGGCCAGGCTTGGCTCTGAGGTCCCTACACTCTCATATGGCTGTTGGTGCCACCTGATGTCTGACTGTGTGTCTTTTATCCACTTATTTGCCTTCTGAAAGCCCTATACAAATTCCTGTACAACCAGGGTTACCTGGTGAGGGTGTGTAAGCAGGGTAGTCCCTAAGGAATGGCAGCCTTTTTCTGAAAATCCCCGTGATGACACCTGCTACTTCAAGATGTCCTCTTTGATGCTTGGTCCCACTGCATGCACAAGCCTGATTGCAACCCAGCTAAGCTGAGACACCAGGGCAAGGTGCTGCCCATCCTCCGTTCCCTCTAGCTACTTCCAGGAGATAATTGTGACTTTAGGAGTGCTGCAGCTGCACTGGGGGACTAACAATGAGATTGTGGCTTAAACCCCTGCTTTTTGTTGGTAGTTGGGTGAACATAGCTGTGCGAGACAAACAGGCTGGAATTTACTGTAGTAAGTTTCCTATTGTTTCAGCTACTGAGGCTGGGACAGCCTGTGGAGTCTTAGGGTATTCATGTACCAAGGCCTGCCTCTCCTTCTCTTGGGACATCTTAAGCTCCCCTACCAAGTCCTGAGCAAGAGTCATATGTGTGCTGCGTTGTTATTAACACTGCTGAGATGTGCATGTTCTGCCATGTTGCTGATTTCTCTTCTCTCTTACCTTCCTCTCCTCCTACAGCTGTTATGGCCTTTCTCTTTGACTTGAAAGATCTTGTGGACCTCATGTCCATCGGGACCCTCCTGGCATACTCCTTGGTAGCAGCCTGTGTGTTGGTACTGAGGTAAGAAATGTAGAAGCTTTGTCTCTTCTGGCACACAGAGAGAATTCCACACAGCAGTCAGATGCCCTTATAGTTTCTATGGGCACATCTCCAGCTACAGGCATGTGAAGAGCTTGTTTCTTTAATTTTATGGGGGATTTTGTTAGTGGGATCTACAGGGAGGTCTTCTGGACTTGGTTAACCCTTGTTCCGTGCCAGTCCTGCTGTGGTCAACTCTAAATGCCCCAGGAGGTATGGAGGAAAGGTGTGTGATCCTGGATGCCTGCCTTGTCCCCACTCTTGTTCCCAATGGACAACCATTTCAGGTTGTCCTCCTTTTAAAAGGAGATTTGAGATGAATCTAGTAGCAGGAAAGGAACTGACACACTGAGCAGGATCAGTGTGTCTTTTAGAAGTGCTGAGCTCCCACATCTTCCCAAACCTCAGCTAAAAATCTTCAGTGCTTGGCACCTTATGGACAACAGTACTTGATTAATGAAAAAAATATCTGAAGATCATGTTACTGAAAAGTACCTTTGTGTATTGAATGACTTACTCAGAATCAGATGGAGGCTTTCACAGCAATTGCGCTGAACTAAGAACAGTCTTGCAGCAGGTGAAGGGCCAGTGCTGTTCTGGGGTGCTTTGTGTTTGTGCTCTGCTCCCTTCCCCTTGAAAATTCTTGCCAATTTACCTTATCCATCTTAAATTTCCTGATTTCCCAGCCTACTCTTTTCCTCAGAGCTAGAAATGGCTTTTTAATTTGTTTTTGCAAGCTGCTGTACCTATTGCATGACATTTCCCCCATCATGGGTTGGCAGAGGCAACAGCCTGTTTTTTAGTGACCTTGGCAGTGGATTTGTCTGCCTCTTGACTGCTTAATGATGTAGCAGCTGAATTGTTTCCAAAGCTGTAAGACCCTGCCACTAGTTGCTTGCTGTGGCTGGACCCAAGTATTTTGCTGCATTTCACAAGTCTCAGTGTTTAACAAATGCCTCATTGTGAACACATGCCCACAGGAACAGTTTTAAGGTGACTTTCAAAGTGGCCCAGTCCTTTAGTCAGACTTGTGGCTGAGTAACTTGACAAAACCTTCTGTTACAGAGAGCTGAGGCTGGAAAAGTGTTTTTTATTTATGGTTCCACATGGTTGTGTGTCACAGCGCTGTTGTTGCATGTGTGGAGAGCACATTCAACCATTCTTGCTTCAGCTCTTCCTTCCTTATGTGGCAGCAGACAAGCTGGCAGGAGAGCCTGGGGTGGAGGGGTATGGGGCAGCAGGAATGCTGCTGCAGGGTGTGATAGCTGCAGAGCTGTTAGCTCAGCCACCTCTGTGCCAAAACGCAAGAGCTGAACTGCCGCAGGTGACACAATGGCCCTGGTTATGACCATCAGTCTGTCCCTCTGCTGTTTCCTTCTCCTGTCACCCAGTCATGTCTTGGTGACGTGGATGACAGGGCTCATGAAAGGGAGCATTGTCCACTTTAGAACACTTACGTTACAACCACGCTGTAGGGGATAAGAGCTGGCCGTACTTGCTTACATCATGATGACATCATTCCTCAAATTTCCCCTTGAAGCAGAAGGGTATAGATGTGACGTGGTGCTGTAAAGGTCTGGCTTGTAGCCATGACTATCTGTGTGGCTTTTAAATGAGTGTTACCCTCATTTAAAAGCAAACTAACAGGCTCTTTGTGTCATTTCCTTTTCCTAGGTACCAGCCAGAGCAGCCTAATTTGGCATACCAGATGGCAAGGTCGACAGAGGAGACAGATAACAACGAGTCTGTGAGCACCAGTGAGTCACAGGCTGGGTTTCTGCCAGAGGAAGAGGAGAAGTTTTCCCTCAAAGCCGTACTGTGTTCCACAGAGTCAGATCCTTCCAAATTCTCAGGTTTGGTGGTGAACGTCTCAACCTTCATCTTAGGTGAGTGCTGGGCAGTGTGTCTCTGGGGCAATGAGTCAGCTGGTAGGGCTTTGTACTCACCATGGTGGGAAAACTCACCTCCTTGACATGATTTTGATGAGCTTTTGTAATGGCCAGAATAACTGAAGATTAAATTTCTGAGTTAAAAAGAAATCCACGGATGGAGCGCGTGGGGTTGTATAGTGGGAAAGGCATATCTGTTATGGTTAGGTTTTTGTGAGTCACTGTTTTGTTTGTGAGCTTTCAGACTCTGCTTTGCCTGCTTATGATTTGTTCTTGGGTTTTCCCTGTATCTAAAAAAAAAAAAAATTCAGTAACCTTTGGTGTCTGTTCACAGGTTTCCTTATTGTGGGTATCTGTATCCTGACTTCCCTTGAGCCAAACATTCTGATAAACACTGTACAGATTATTGCCGCCATCCTTGTTGTCACTATCATCTTCATTATACGGAAACAGCCTGAAAGCAAAACCAAACTCTCCTTTAAGGTGAATGTCCTGGGACATGTAGCTAGGATAGAGGTGTCTGGGAGGTGGTTGGAGGAGGAAGTGCATGTGTTGGCCTGTATCAGAAGGGGGACACTGGCCAAATGGATGTGCATAGAATATAGGCATGATGTCAGCTTTGCTATCCAGGAGAAGCTGGAGATGCAGAAGCTGCTGCAGAGGTGTGGCTGGAAGGGAAGGGCAGGACCCTGCATTTGAAAGCAGATGGGTATAAGATAGGGAACAGACATACACTGGAGGAAAGGGGATGGTTGTGAAGGGCCACATCAGATCATGGATGCTAAAGGAGAAAGAACACAAGAAGTAAACTTGTTTGCAAAGATCTAAGGCTCTAAGTGTATTTTCATGTCCTCCTTAGTCCTCATGGAGGCTAAGAGATGACCATTCTCTCTTAAACATCCTTAAGTATGAGGAACTCTGTTGTTTTCCTGCCCTCTCTAAGAACACCATCCTTTCTATATTAAACACTGGGATGGGTTTTTCTCCCAGTGTAATCCTACAAGTCATGCTTTATCATACTGATTTCAGGTAGCTCTGCAATTTATTAAATTATTTTTTTGTTATAATCCATCCTCTAAACTGCTTTCATTTGGATTGCTCTTCAATTAAAATTTTTCAGTAAATTCTCAGATTTTAGTAACTTAATACAGCCAGAGTTTTCCAAGGTTGTCTTTGCAGCTCATTTTGGGGTAATGGTCCCAAAGGTGGAAACAGAAATGTCCAGGAGAAAAAAGTTATATACTCTCACTAGATCATATTTTCTGAACATGCTTCTGAAGAGGTCTGTTCACCTTTCATTCAGGATATTTCAGGTCCTTTTTTTCCCCTCAGCCACTACCCTGTCCAAGAAAAAAAGAAAATTATACCTGTCACAGCTAAATCTGTAATCATAAAATCATAGAATCATTTTGGTTGGAAAAGAGCTTTAAGATCATCAAGTCCAACCATTAGCCCAGGACTGCCAAATCCACCTCTAAACCATGTCCCTCAGTGCCACATCTACATGTCTTAGCACCTCCAGGTATGACGATTGCACCACTTCCCTGGGTAGCCTGTTGCAATGCTTGGCAATCTTTTTTCTTATCTCCTTGCTGTTCTTTGGGCATTTACAACCTGATGATGATTTTTCTCCAAAATCACTCTGGAAATCCAAGGCTGACCTGTTTGTTTCCCAGTTGTTTTTCTGTATTTTTAACAGGTAATTTTTCTCTCTTCCCTAGTCTTAAGAGACTTTACCAGTCTACCTATAGCTCTTAGAGTTGCTTATTTAATAGTTCAGAGATCACTTCTGCAATCTCTGGGTACATAAGTCACCCACCTAGGGAAATTTTGTCTCTACTGACTTGACAAAGCCAGCTTTAGAAAAATATTCTTCTTCTATTTTCTAATTTGTGTGCCTACCCCCTCTCTCTAATGATGTGAGCAGCTACTTTACATAAATTTTTTTGGCAAAGCTTAAATTAAGAAAGGCCCACATTTATGCCTGTTTGTTTTTGTAGTTCTCCTTTTTTCCTTAGGAGTGAAGTTCACTTTCCACTTAATTCCACCATATTCAGAAACATTTCTAGTATTATAATTTGCCTTGTTTGATTTTTTTATTTGCAGTGCTATTTTCTGTATTCTTTTTTTTGCATTTTGGCTTTGCTGTCTCATTCTTCTTTGATTGTCAGACCACTGAGGCATTCTTGGTACTGGTATAGTCATCTCTTGCAGTATTTGCTGGTTTTCCTTGCTTTGGGATAGTTTGCTCTCTATTGCTTCACTGCCTTGGTACCTGATGGATGAAGTTCCTCAGGTCCCTCCTCTGACATTCCCCTTATCTTCATCTCTTGGTCTTCAATAGGTGCTTGTCATGATACAGTCCTTGGTTTTTACTCTTCTCTCCTTTGCCCCACAAGTATTTAGTATTGCCACTAAAATTTGCCTCTTACCTCCTTCTAGACCACAAAACAGGCTTTTAAAACAGGTGAACAGAATTGTTCACATGCCCCTCCTGTGTTGGACTTTTGGGTTTAACCTTGCCTTTTCTCACATCTGGCAGCTGAAGAGTTGGTAACAGCCATCAGTTCCCATTTACAAGGGATGTGATGTTCGTTCCTGCTCATTAACCATGCTTGTAGATGTAACATATCCCTTGTTCTTTCTCAGGTACCTTTTTTGCCCTTTCTTCCTGTTGGGAGTATTTTTGTCAATGTTTACCTCATGATGCAGCTAGACGCAGGCACGTGGATTCGGTTTGCAATCTGGATGCTCCTAGGTGAGTTTAAGTGAAAAATTCTATGTTCAGAGTTACTAGATTTTGTTCACCATAAATTTATTATTCCAGGGAGGGATTCTGTGCTCTGGTTATCCCTGGGGAACCCTGGTGACTTGACTGAAGCCCTTTAGTCAGCATGTAACAAGCTTTGTTTCAAATCAAAGGGTCTTGAAGCCTTTGTGTGGACAAAACAACAACCCATGAACCATCTTATGGGTCTTGTTGCCAACAAGAAACCACAGAGCATTCCTTGTTGGCAAGCCTTGCACTGCTGTCCAGGTGGTGGAGCTTGTGCTTCTGGAGCTGAATAAGCTGAGCTGCATCCCAAGATGCTCCCAAAAGCCACTTAGATAAGGCTGAAATGTCTGAGATGCTCAATCAGGATCCTGTTTGGGGCTGGGATAGATTGACTTTTAAAGACTGGTGCCTGTGTTAATGGCTTTTTTCCCTAAAGAAGATAGTGGCTGTCTGCTAGAAGCTAACCATGAGGATGGGTGGACTTAGACTGGTGTAACTTGGGTCAGTAGATGTGAGTAGAGGTTTCTGTTTCTTTTCAGAGCTAACAGTGCCCTCTCCCTTGGCTTCCACAGGCTTTATCATCTACTTTACCTATGGAATATGGCACAGTGTGGAAGCCAGCTATGCAGCCTCAGCAGAAGCGGAGAGAAACACAGACACTGGCTCAGACAGCTGTAAATGACTGTTTGGCTTACGGGCGACTGAAAGAATGGCTGCAGTGAAAGAAACTTTGTGGTGGGGGTCCTGAACCAGATTACACCTGTAATCAGTTACGCAGAAATAAGGAAGCAGAATGCAGGCCTCCGCCACTTGGTTACTGCAGCTTGCAGTTTGTTTAGCAGCACAGTTAAAAGGGACCACAAGATGAAAAGACACAACTCTGGCATATTCCCAGCAGCACTGGCAGCTCATCTGGGCGCTTCCCTCTCTCCCTCTCCAGTTTTGTTTTTTTTTTCCCCAGTGTGTAGAAAGAGAACTGCTTCTGTGTGCAACTGCTGCTATGAAACCAGGCCTCACAAATGTCCTTCTTTCAGTAGCCCTGGGAATTACCTCCCGACAGATATTCTACTCAATTTTACATGGAGCAGGTTTTGCAGTGCTACTATCAGGCATAGACCAGGATCCATCCTTCACCCTATGTGAGCTGTACCCTCTGTATATGCACACACACAAGAAAAAATTCTCCCCAATCACTAGATTTCCCCAGGTTAACAAAGCACCTGCAAGATTTGCATTCTTTAGACTATCAGGTCTTACCTTTTTTTGTTTTTATTTGACTGGGTTTTGTAGCTAGTGCTCACATGCTTTAAAGCATGTCACTGCTGTGAAATGTTGGGAAGGTTCGTAGTTGCTGATTGTCAGGTGAGCGATTGCTTGGCAGCACACAGCTAACAGCAGCAGGTGTTTCTCCCAACTGTACACTCCACAGAGGAATTGCCAGCTTTAACAAAGCTGGTTTACAAAGGTTAAAAAAGCACCTGCAAGATTTGCATTCTCTAGACTATCAGGTCTTACCTTTTTTGTTTTTATTTAACTGGGTTTTGTAGCTAGTGCTCACATGCTTTAAAGCATGTCACTGCTGTGAAATGTTGGGAAGGTTCGTAGTTGCTGATTGTCAGGTGAGCGATTGCTCGGCAGCACACAGCTAACAGCAGCAGGTGTTTCTCCCAACTGTACACTCCACAGAGGAATTGCCAGCTTTAGTCAGGAAACCACGTGGTGCAAGTACTGCAAAGGCTTGAAAACAACGGGTGTCTCCAAAGAGCAGTCCTGCCTCTTTGCCTCAGAAATCACCAGTGCTGTGGCTGTAGTGGTGGGGGTGGCCAGCAGAACTGAGCTAGTTCTGACAGAGAGTGCAGCCCTATGTTCCTCCCCCCACATCAGTCTTCTGTGCTGGCTGCCTGGCATAGCAACTTTGGTTTGGCATTGGTGGCTGGAGCACATTCCTGCCCTGGGAGGGGAAGCACAGGAGAATCCTCAGAGGAACAAAGTTCTGATGTGAGCAATGCCTGGTGTCAGCCACCTGCCCAGGGGAGGCTCTGGGGGTGTGGAGGGACTTTTCATCCTATCAAAGTGTGCAGCCCAGAAAACACCATTAAACTCTAGGGTCTGACTTGCTGAGGGGAGCTTTCTCTTTGGAGCTGGAGATCTTCTCCAGAGCCTGCCTGTAGTGAAAGGTGGGAAACTTGGAATTGAGACCAGGGTCTATATTTGATTGACAATGCCTTGGTTTTGGCTGTAAAATGATTGTTTTAATTCTCTCTAATAGCTTTCCCTAGCCAAATTAATCCACTACCCTAAAAAGGCTTATTAAGGTGAGCCATGCCCAGGTAATGCCACTGATCTAAATTAACGCTTCAGCTTGTACTGAAAAACAAATCTTAGAATTGTGGAACAGTTGGGTTGGAAAGAGACCTTTGAATATCATTTGGTCCACCTTACCTGACATCAGCAGGGACATCTTTAACTAGATCAGGTTGCTAAAAGCCCTGTCCAACCTGCTCTCAAACACCTCTGGGCTGGAGCATCCCAGACAGATACTGCAGAAATCCCCTTTCCCAATGTGAGCGGATGCTTTCCTATGTGTCCTTCATACTACTGCCTCTGAACACTGGACAGTCTTTAGTTGCTTTGTCAGCATGGCTCTTGCTGATGAAGCAACAGGCTCTTGCACCTGTCATTGAGTTGGAGAACTGAACAGACCCCTGCATGACTTGCCCAGGATCTCACCAGGCATCTGATGCAGCAGAAAAGGGAATCAGACCATCTCCTGGATTTCATGGCTGGATTGTGGACCATTTCTCATGTTTCCAAGAGACTTTATGGCCTTTCTGCCCAATGAAGTGTTTTCATCTTTTAATTCTAGTACATTGGAAGGCTTTTCTTGACAGGATTGCAATTTGAGGAAGTGAAGGCAATGTGTTCATTGCCTCCTAGGCGCACTTCAGGGTGTGTTATGAGTGCAGCTTCCCCCTCAGAATGAAGTCGGGGGTCTGCTCCAGTCACTGGGTCTTGACCATCTGCCAAGGCTTTGCTCCTTGTGCATATACAAAGTCTTACTCAAGCAGGGCGAGATTAATATAGAAATTAAAAGCCACTAAGTCGAAGTCTATTTTGTTGAAACACAGGCAAGCTCAACATACTCCACGGCCTCCCAAAAGGCACTGAAAATGTGGTTGGGAGGGCAGCAAGATGAAAACTCAAGACAGGATCAAAGTTTTGTATTGTACTAAAAATATAAGGATGTTTTTCCTACCTGGCTACCAGCTTCTGTTCAGTGAAAACATGAAGCTTGCCAAAGCTTCATCTGTGCTGAGCAAGCCAAGGGCCTGGTGAAAAATCTTTCAGGAGGATGTTGTCAGGCACGCTCCTGAGGTGGAGTATGAGCTGGTCCCTTTTTAATCATTGTGGCAAAGCCTGAGCAGCTCTGTGGCTCTCAGCAGGAGGGCAGAGTGAAGGGGGCAGGGTGTGGGGTGTTGAAACTGAGTGAACTGGAACAGTGGGAAATTCAGGTGTTTGCTGATGAGCCTGAACCACAGGCAGAAATGTTCCTGTTATCATGTTCTGCAGCATGACACTTTATTGGAAACATTGCAGACCACAATCACTGTTCTGGCAGCCCCAGTCATTGGAAGCATCCTAGAAAATGAGTCCATGGAACCTCCTAGCATGTGAGGCACTGTCAGGTAAGGCAGCTGCCCAGCCCTGCTGCCAGGAAGCTAATGACTTGCTTCTGTCTTTACCTTAATGGGGTAACCCTCTAATGGGCTTTTGCTTTGTTTCCCATTCATCCCAGTTCCTGTGTGCACAGAAAACACGGCAGGACATGCTGGTTTGTATCCGTCAGCCCACAGGTGCACTGGCACACGGATTTATTATCAGGAATATATTACACTTATCTGTACATCATAATTGAAATAATACAAACTCTTCCTGTAATCATTAGCCACATAATAAACGGGACCACAGAACTCCTGCTGCATGGGAAACTGTACAGAGGCTCCTCAGAGTGTCCATGGGACACAACCACCATCAGTGCAGAGACAAAATACCTGATTTTGCACTTGATAGTTTTTTCTTTCCTCCCCCCACCTGCCACCACCACAAGCCTTTGCTGCTGTGCATCAAGTGAGTCAACCCATCTGTGCCAGCAGTCACTGGAGGTGCAATCCCAGTAGGGACAAATGGTACCTTCCCACAATAAAAATGAGTTTTCCATGCCCTGCTCACTGCTGGCTCTCCTGCCATCCCATGGCTGATACCTGCTCCCAGTGCCCATCTCTGGAACCCCTGGGAGCAATTGTGGGCTGGTTTTATTGCTGCTACACCCTTCTGCATTGAGCAAAGATTAACAAACAGCTTCCTTAAAGACAGAGATGATGAAACTCTTTCTGCTTAGTGCTGGCTACATTCCCTCTGCTGCCAAAGGCTGTCCTATTTCCAAATGGCAAAGTCCCCACAGTGGCCATGGCATTTGGGAAGTTTCCAGCTCTGCAGAAGCAAACACTTTCCCTCCCCAGCTTGGCCCTGCACCTGGGGATCTTCATTCCCTGGGAATGGCTGCCCCATTCAGGGGCTGCTCCTTTCCTCCCACTATCTGAGTGACCTGAGCTTTTCTTTTGCACCTACTTCAGCATGCAGAGGCAAAGAAAGACAGGACAGAGGAAAAGTATAAAAAAGGAATAACCTTTTCTGGAGAAAGAAGTCTTTTTCTGGGCTTGCACCAGAAGGAGCCACTCTTCACACCCCCCACAGGGACTGGTTGCTGGGTCCCTCTGGTTAGGCAGAACTTCCTGCAGTTTTGCTAGTGATTTGGCACACCCCAGAGGGTGTGCCAAGGAAGAATCCAGTGAGAGGCAGGATTAGGAGGCAAAAATTAGATGGGAAAGGGATTGGCAATGATAACAAATGATGATGGAGCTGGGTTAGGTCCCAGTTTTCCCACCATAAAAGCCCCACTCCCAATTCACTGCTGGAAGCATCTCTTGAATATTATTTTAAACCAACAAAGTGATAAGGAAAGCACCTTAAAGGTATAAAGGTATAAAGGGGAAAGATTAATAAATTACAACAGGTTCAGCCAGCCTGTCCTGGGCCAATGATATGCTTTAGTGCATTTAAAGTTTTTAGGAGCATCAATAACAACTCCAGTTGTTTCATCTCAACCATTTTTACAAAGGGTAAAAAGGAGAATCCCAACTACCAACTACCAACAAGCCACTCTGACTAATCTGATGGCCCTCTGCAATGGTGTGACTGTGTCAGTGAGTGAGGGATGAGCAACTGATGTCATTTACCTGGACTCTGCTGGGCCTTCGACATAGTCCCACACAGCATCCTAAACTGGGGAGATAAAACTTTGATGGATAGAAGCTGGCTATGGAATTGGCTGGATGGTTGCATCTGGAACAGCTCAATGTCCAAATGGCCATCAGTGAGAAGTGGTGCCCCTCTGGGGTCTGTATTTGGGCCAATATTTAAGATATTACTGTGTAATAGCTTAAATGACTCAGACAGTGGGATCAGGTGCATCCACAGGAAGTCTGTGGATTGACACCAAGGTGAGTGGTTCAGTTGGTACACTGGAAGGAGGGAATGCCATACATGGGGGATCTGGGTAGGCTTGAGAGGTGGGGCCATGTGAACATCACGAGGTTCAACGAGGCCAAGAGCAAGGTCTTGCACCTAGGCCGGGGCAACCCTTGGTATGAATACAGGCTGGGGGATAAAGAGATTGGAAACATCCTTGCTGAGGAGGACTTGGGAATACTGCTGGATAAGAGGCTGGACATGAACGAACAGTTGGTGCTCAAAGCCCAGAAAGTCACTTGTATCCTGGGCTGCATCCAAAGCAGCGTGGCCAGCAGGGCAAGGGGGGGATTCTGCCCCTCTACTCTGCTCTTGTGACACCCAGCCTGGAGTGCTGCATCCAGCTCTGGGGATAAGAAGGACATGGACATCTTGGAGTGGGTCTAAGAGGAGTGCCACAAAGATCTTAAAAGGCTGGAGCACCTCTTCTATGGAGACAGGCTGAGACACTTAGAGTTGTTCAGCCTGGAGAGGAGAAGACTTAGGGGAGATCTTTTAGCAGCCTTCCAGAACCTCAAGGGGGCCTATAAGAAAAATGGAGAGAGACTTTTTAGCAGGGCCTGTAGTGATAGAAGGGACAACAGTTTTAAACTGGAAGAGGATAGGTTTAGATTGGACATAAGAAAAAGAATTTTTACAATGAGAGTGGTAGGAATAGGTTGCCCAGAGAAGTTGTGGATACCCCATTCCTAGAAGTGTTCTAGGCCAGGCTGGATGAAGCTCTGAGCAACCTGGTCTAGTGGAAAGTGTCCCTGCCCATGGCAGTGGGGGCTGGACTAGATAAAGTTCCCTTCTAACCCAAATCACCCTCTGAGTCTGTGACCTCACTGTCTCAGAATTCTGTTGGTGGAATGAAAGATGACAATGCTGTAGGTGTTGCAAATAGCTGTGCAGTTAGCAAATATCAAAATGATTAAAGTCATACTTGGCAAGAAGGGGCTGTGTGTGCATGTATGTGCTAGGTATTTATCTTTCAGGTTGTACTTGCTGGACACACTAAAATCTAGCAATGCATTTCAACAGTAGTAGCTGGTGTGGCATGATCTATTCTAATAAGATGCTCAATTTACTCAGTATCACAGTACCATGCAAAAGCTGCTACAAAAATAAATTTCTCTAAAAAGGAGAAAAAAAAATCATCTTTCTTTTTAACACTGTGGAACAGGCCACAGGCGCTTTGATGGTGGTTGAAGCTGTATCTAAGCTGCAGTCTGTGAATCCTGAGTATTTCCCAGGAAGGCTGAAGCACAGCTCCCACTCTGGCAGGATGGCAGGCTGTGCAGTGCCACCCCTGTGGGTGCAGGGCCTGCTGGTGCCACCCCACACCCGGGTGAGAAAGCCACCCTCCCTGCAGCCATCCTGCACCTCAGGGATTTCCTCCAGGTACTGTCGCCCTGCTAACTATGGCCCCAGTGCACATAGCAGGCCTGCATGCAGGCTCTTTGCCCTAAGCTGGGTAGAAAAGCATCCCACAATCTCTTTGTTTTGTCAGTTATGCTCAGGGATATTTTTATCTTGTTAGCCATGCCCATGAGGGCCCTGCAGACAGTCTGACCCCAACTACTCCTCAGCCTCACCATCCCCTCAGGTGGGAAGTCACCCCAAACCTGGGTGAACATTTTTGCTTCTAGATGGGAAAGTTAAAGGTAGTTTAGTCACTCATTTCCATGAATCTTCAAAGTGCTCTGTAACTCTGGGTAAGCTGTAGCAATGTGAAATAATGCAGATACGTGGAAGGAACAAAATTCTGACTTCGTCCGCACCTATGAAGTTGGCTATGCTCTATTTGGCATTTGAGGTGGAAGGAAGCCAGAGCCCTAGCAGATGTCCAGTATCTCATCTTACCATTGGAAACCTCCTCCAGCAAAGATAAGCAACTTATTTTTTCCTTCATGCTTCTGGGGCTTGAAATAAAACAAAATGGACAGAAATCTACAGCCAGAGATTTTGATTGCATCCTAACCACGACAATGTTAAACAAGATAAGATCTGACTAGGATTGAAATAAAGACACTAAAATTGAACCATGTTAACCAGTAACCTCTACCAAATTTGCTAAAACTCTCAGTTTTCTCATCTCTAGCCTATCTCCACTTAGAATATCAATGCTAAGAGTTAAAAAGCAGTGGATGGTATGCATATCTTTTCTGGTGTTCAATGCAAAGGTGATGGTTTCGAAGGCAGTACTGTCTTAGAATTTCAAATTCGCTGGTGTTCATGTTACATAGAGTACCACTTGGTGGTCACTTGGAAGGCGCTTCTACTTCTGTGTAACTTTCTTCTAGGTTGGGTATAAATATTCCTGGGAGGCTAAACAGAAATGCATTTTGTTTAGATACAAGTCTTAGGCACGAGTTAGAAAACTGCTGACTGTAATGAAAATATATCAGCACTTAGTAGTATCCAATAATATAAAAAATGTAATTCAGAACATCTGCAACTACATATATATGTGTGTGCGTCTATATATAGGTATAAAGATACAATACATACATGTATATAAACACAGACACATATACAGAAATATTCACACCATTTGCAACTAACCTGAAATACTGCAGCAAAAGTTCATTCTGATGAACCATTAATAGAGCATTTCCCAACTTTTGGCTCTAACCATAGTTAAAACGTTCACACACCAAACTAAACTTTTTGCTATCCTAACTTTCTGCTGTTCTAGTTCTTGGCTATCTTTTTTGCTACCCTAATCTTCATGTGAGAACCAAGAATTTCTGTGTGGGGACTGTAAGAGTACCCTGCCTAGTGTAAAGCTATGCAGCTACTGAGCATGCTTGCAGCCATGAACCCTGGGCGCCTGTTGATGGTAGTACTTCCTTGGATGGTAACAATTTGCAGACTGGAGATGCATAAAAGGCAGGGAACCTTCGGCACACAGCTGCCTGTTCATCGCCTCAAGGTTCTGACTTTTGCTGGAGAGGAGTTCCCTGATGAGCAGCGATAGAAAGGAGTGGATGGTGCGGGCGGGAGTTTGACGGGGCTCACGGCATCTCCCTCCTGCAGCTTCCAGAGCAGCTCCTCGTTAGTCCTGCTGAGCTTCTTCTTCTCCTCCACTTCTTTCTCAACGTATTCTTGAAGATTTGCATTCTCCTCCGACAGTTGCCTGGAGAGAGAAGCGGGACAACATGTAAGGCACTCCAGGGCAAAGATGGTGGCATTCATGCAGCCACCCCTGCCCCTAGGGCTGAGCTGCCAAAGCTGTGGCACAGCTGGCCCCAGATCTCTTCAATGCTGGGTGAGAAAGTCATCTCTACAAGTCATACTTCCCCCTAGTGTCTGATTCTGCTTCCAGATGCACCCGTGGTGGGATGAGCCCCAGCCTTTCTCCCTGGCCTTGTGGAGTGTCAAAGTACAAAGAGGGTTGGCAGCAGTTGCATCTATGATTTTTTCAACTCGCTGCTATGTTATGCAAAGGAAAAGCAGTCTGGCCTTTCCATGCTCTGAATTCCAGCTGATGTCCTGATGCAGGACACAGCTCAGCTTCAAAACTTCCCTCTACTCTGTAAAAGGTCATGAGGTAATGGGTTCTTCTCCTGCTCCATCCTCCTTGATCCCAAAATAGCCTCTATTCCTGACTGCAACACTAGAGAAGCTTCACTAGTAATGACCAGGGAGGTGATCTCCCCAGATGCCCAGTAACTTCATGGCTTTCCTGGAGCTGGGGCGTGGAAATCTCCTATGGGCACCACAGCCTTAGTGAGTCTGCACTCATCAGCCAGGTGACTGGTTTTGAAAGAAATGGGGTAGGGCAAGTAGACTGTGGGACCTGATTGAGACGCGTTTTGGGCATGTGCTGACAACACCTGTGTCCCAAAGGATGCATGCAGGAGCACCAGGCTTCTGCAGCCCCACTACGCTTGGGCAGGAGCCAGCTCCTCATGGGATCAACCTGCAGCAGTTCTGGGCAGGCACCTAACCTGATTTACTGGCAATTTAGGGTTTTATAGGAATGAACAGGGAGGAACCCAATCTTCCCCTAGGTGTTTTCAATGTTCAGCAGCAGCTGGGTGTGGATTTTGGATGCATACAAAAAATTCTGTACAACTGCTTTTCTGGGTGTAGCCTGAAGGCTGTAGCAGATGTCAGGGACTGCTGGTCCACTCACCAGAAGTCTATGAGAGGGTGGGGTTGGCATTTCTGATTTTGTTTAAAAGACATTTTTAAAGAATTTTTCCTTTTTTAGCCTCAATTCCTACAGAAATGTAGCTCAGGTAATCAAGAATACATCTCTTTCTTCTCCCAGTCCCCAAAAGTTCTGAACTGTGAAGTGAGCAGTGGCTAGCAGAGTCACCTTGATCTCTTGGGTGTTGGAAACTATCATTCTTCAGACAACCCCAGTCCAAAGGACCAAAAAAATGCTGGTTGATTTGGAGGGAGGATCTGAAGTGCTGAGAGATCAGATAATTTATTAAAGTTTTTGGGGAGGTCCCAGCAGGGGCTCTGTGGAGCTCTCGGATCCAAAACTGGGTCATGATCTACCTGAAAGGCTCTTGTCCTTCCCTTTGCACCTGCCCTTGTCCTTAATTGGAAATATCTCTGTGGTGCACCCCTCACACCCCAGTGCCTCTGGGACCCCCTCCTGACGGTGCTGCAGAGGCTGGCTTTGCTGTTTCCTCTCCCTCCTCTCACTGCTGCTGGGCTGCCACAGCTGCTTGGGCACCCAGACCGCAGAAACAGCTCTAATCCAGGGCAGCTCCCTGAGCTCATTCATGCTGTGCTTCCCAGGCAGTGCCAGTACAACAGAAATCAGCAGTCAGGGTGCTTACTGCAGCTGGGAAAATGCATGCTTTAATAACTCCAACTTTAAAGCCCTGGCTGTCCCTGTTGCTGCCCCACAGCTGTCCCCAAAGAGTTACTTGTTGAAAATGATTCTCCTTGAAGTTGAGTTCCCAGGCTGACTTTGAATTCAGAATTTCTCCTGAAAGGTGTTTTTGAAAGCAGTACCTATGCAGTTGCAGGCAACAAGCAAAGTGCTGCAGCTGGATGGCAGCAGGGAGTGGAGGGAGGGTGCTGTTCACCCAGCCAGAGACAGGGAGCTGCAATGCAGAGATGCCAAGTGCTGAACCAGACACCCTGGCTGCTGTCAGGCGTGGAGAGACACTGCCACTTCCAGGCCACAATTCATCCAGCCCAAAAGCAGGCATCTCAAACTGGTCTGGTGAACCAGACCTTAAAAATACCCAGTTTTCCTCCCCCGGCACAGAAATGCTGTAGACACCCACCTCAGACAGTGAGATGTGGACTACAGGTATTTACAATCAGGTGGAAGAAAACATAATTCTCACCCCAATCTGAATGATAGAATATCTGCATGATGGAGACAATTTCAAAAGGCTGAATCATTAAAAAATGAGGCACGAGAAAGACAAAAACTAAAATCAGAGATGAGACACTGACAGTTTAAAAAAATTGACTAAAGTTTAAATTTTGGCCAGTGGCATCATTTCTGGATGCCATGACAGCTAGGTAGCTGCAGTGCTGGGACAAGACCAGCTCTAGTTTCTCCCTCTGGCACCCCTTCTCCCTGGCTCCAGCCTTACACCATGATATAAACTCTCTGGGACAGGGACTATCCTACCCAGCTCTTCAAATGTCACCTAACAAGGAGCCTTGTCACCCTTGTCCCATTGTGACAAGGCTGCAAAAAGGCAGTGCTGATGAAAAAACCTGCCAAAAGTTAATCCTGTCGGGGTGACAATGACATCCTTAGGATGTCTTTCTCAGGATTTTTCCATTTTGCATTCTCATTACCCACTGACTAACAGGTCTCAGGGCACTGATACTGAGATCCGAACCACTGGCAAGCTTGTTCTCAGCAGCATGTCAAAATCATGGAAATACACAGACAGATACATGGCCTTCCTTATGTTAAAGGAAGTAAACCCCAATATAAAAATATTTTTTTAATAAGCAGAGCAGAACACAAATACATTTTCAGGGGGAAATAAGTTTTTCCCCTTCTGAAATAAGTGTCAGCCTTGGACAATTAAGACCCGGGGCCTCCTTTCAAGCTCAGACAGATTGCAAATACCAGCACAAACCTTGTTATAACAGTATTTTGCTCAATCCTGGCTCTGAGTTCTTCATTCTGCTGTTGCAGCATGGTGATTTTTTCTTCCAGTTTTAAATTTTTTTCAACCTGCAGCAAAAGGAGGTTTGTTAAGTCTGAAGAACACTCAACACCTGATCCAAGATAATTTGTTCTATATTAATCTGTGGAGCAACTTCTAAATTTTGAGGATAGGTGGAGGTGGTTTTCTGGACTGCAGTTGAGACTTAGAGATCTGACTCACATCACCAATCATACTGGTGAAGTACCTGGGGCCATCAGCAGGGCATTGAGCAGGGGCAGAGCTGAACCAGCCCTTACTTATAACTGAGGAGGAGGAGGAGGAGGGTCTTAGTTTTGTTCAGTGCAAATGGATGTTTTCCTCAGTGGTGCTCCACAACTTTTGTCCCCCAATGAGCCAGTGCTCCCAGTTGTTGGAGAAAGTGCTGGTGGCACTTGAGAAGCACCCAGCACGGAAAGTTGCCCAGCACTGCGGTATGAGTGGTCAGCCTAGTGATGAAGGAGAAGTGCAAGATGGGATGATGTACAGCTTCCAGCCATTACAGTCTGACATCCAGCCTCCAGGATTGTGATTCCTCAGTTATGGAGAGGAAAGAGTCACCCACTAGGGCAGAGGATGCCCAGCAGCAGCCTTAGAGTGCTGCTGCATTCTCATGAGGCCTCTGGAGACTCCTCACTGCTGCTGACAATGTCAGCTTAAATGACAGGCTTAAACCAGACATTTAACTTTAAATGTAAGATGTAATTAATTGAAATTAATCCTATCCCAAGCACAGGTAGCTTTTATTCAACACAGTTCAAAGGCAGAGTTTGAGGACATAAGTAGCAATGTATTAGTAAGATGTTT